TCATGTTTTGAGGCTGTTGTGGGGCCTAGAAAGGACACTCAAGCATGACCAGGGGCAGCCCTAGCTTGCCCCATGGCCTGGGAAACACACTGTGCCCCCGACACTCAGGAGAGACTGAGCAGGGAGGACAGGGCAGAGTGTCCCTCTGTGCTGAAGGGAATGTTTGCTGGTACCAGGGTTCACGTGGCAGCACACTGTACTAGCATCTCTGTTCTCACTGTTCCAAAAGTAGTGACTTCCCTACAGGAGGATGTGCACGTGAATGCCACGTGTCAGGCATGCTGGAGACAGGCCCTAACCTGGACCTGTGGATGCATGAATATAGAGTGTTTTGCAGGCTCAGCAGATGGAAATTCTGGAGACTGTGCATGGATGTGTGTAGAGCTAGGGCACAGCGTACATCCCTTCTGTGGGCTAGAATCTGTGTTGCTTGGGAGTTCCTCGCATTTGTGTTCTTGGACAACAGTGCCTTCTGATATAAACTCTCTCCTGTTCAAATTTCACTCTTCTCTTGCCCCCCAGAATCAGAGGCTTCCAGGCTTTGGGAGCAGATACTTCACCAACCCAGCAATCTGCCAGGTGCAGAGCAGGTTAAACATTTAGTTGTCTTGGAGGTTGTACTGCCAAGTAAGGATCCATGGGATCCACAGTGGGGGGAGGGGGGAGTGGCCAGGGACAGAGAAATCTGGAATCTTGTGCCATCTGCTAGGCACAGGCTGGAGTGGCAGAAGGCAGGTGCAGAAGAAGGAGAAAGAACAGAGAGGGGTGGAAAGAAGGAAGAAGATCCTGAGGCCAAGATCACACATCCTCTTCCACTGCACTCCCAGCCAAGCTGCAACCCCCGAGACACATGCGCTTGTGCACAGACACACACTCACACTCACACGCACACCCTTGCTGTCCAGCTCCAGTCATCCAGTGCTGTAAAGCTGGAGTGCTGACCTCACTACTCTCATTTTCTCTTCACCAGAGGAGCCACCGCCTCATTATCTTTTGTCCATCTCTGTCTCACAGACCGAGCTCCTGTTCAAGGCAGGATGAGGAAAACACCAAGGAGAGAGCACAGGGACAGAGGGCACAGGAGACACCATCCCAGCAGGTCAGCAGGGGGACACTTGTGAGCTGAGCTCAGGATTCACAGAGGAGGAGACAGAAAAAATGGAGAGGGAGTGACATGGACACAAAAGCAGAGGCATGGACACCCTGATGTGTTCAGCTGACCTGGTGTCTGTGACCTGCAGAGGGAGTGAAACTGGAGCTGGATTTTGCAAGGTTTGTGGCCCTGCTCTAAGTTCAGGTGACGGCAATTGGTTCTTTTTAAATTTATTTTATTTTAAAGAGATTAAGACAAAAGAGGACAGAACAAAGCAGATCAGAACAGAACAATGTAAGCAACACAGCACTTCACCACAAGACAACTGGATATTAACAGTAGCTACCATAATATCTCTTTCTTTGAAATAGTTGAGCATACCTTCACATACAATAGTATCAAGCATAACAAAATAGTATAAAACCATTCAAGAGAATGAAAGTATTACAAGACATTCAGAACCAAATAACAGAAAATGAACAATGGCTACTACATCTCATTATCTCATTTTCCATAAAAAGTTGTTTATACTATCACACATATTAAAATCCAATAAGACACAACATGATAGAACCAATGGAAACAGAAGAACAAAAGCATAGTAGGACTTTAAAGCAAGATGACATTAAATCAGCATTGGCTATCATAATGTCTTGTTTTCTTCAAAATAGCTGTTCACATCATCACACATAATAAAATCAAACAAAACAGAATAAAAACATTCCGACTAATGAAAGCAAACATTATAAGGCTTCAAAACAATGTAATGGGGAATCCTGATTACCATAAACTTATGTACTCTTACCATTTCTTACACTAGGGAGACTATACAGTATTTATACATGTGAGTTTGATTTATTTTCCTTATGAGTATGGTCTCAAGTTGCGTCCATTTATTTATAAATATTGCAATGTGATCCTTCTTTATAGCTGAGTAGTACTCCATTGTATAAAAATACCACATGTTTTTTATCCATTCCTCAGTTGATGGTCACTTAGGCTGTTTCCAAGATCTGGTTATTACAAATTGTGCTGCTATAAACATGGGTGCACGTATGTCACTCCGGTATGATATTTTCAGTTCTTCTGGGAATATGTCCAGAAGTAAAATAGCTGGGTTAAATGGGATTTCCAATCCCAGGTTTCTGAGGAATCTCCAGACTGACATCCACAGTGGTTGCACCAGTCTATACTCCTACCGACAGAACGGGAGAGTTCCTTTCTCCCCACAGCCTCTCCAGCATTTGTTGTTGGTGGTTTTCTTGATCCTGGCCATTCTTTCTGGAGTGAGATGGAATCTCAGTGTGTTTTTTAAAAAATTTTATTTAAAAGGAAAAAGAGAAAAAACAAAACAAAACAAAGCGGTGTAAGGGTACAAGTAATACAGAACTACAAAAAAACAAAAAACAGTAAGACATCACCAGTTAATAGATTACACATTATCATCTTAGAGGTAGTTGCTCAAGTCACAGTATCAAAGCATACAAAGTGTCATTCAAACAGAGAGATTGCAAACAGTTGTGTTCAATGATCCAACCAAAAACATTAATACTCAGTGTGGTTTTAATTTGCATTTCTCTAATAAGTAATGATGATGAACATTTTTTCATGTATTTATTTGCCACTTATATTTCTTCATCTGAGAACTGTGTATTCATCTCAGATGCCCATTTTTGGATTGGGTCTTTGAATTTCAGGGCTCTGATTTTTAAAAATTCTTTATATGTTTTAGATAGAAGTCCTTTGTCTGAGGGACAGTTCACTAAGATTTTTTTCCCAGTTTGTGGGTTAGGGTTGCCAAGCTCAGAATTGGAGCTCACAGCAGCAAAGGAGGAGTGCCATTGGGATACCAGGACCCTCCTGAGTATTCAGGAGCAATTGGAGCCCCAGAGACAGAGGCTTCTACCCAGAGGAGTGCCGTGCTCAGGCTGGGTTGGAGGGCCGTCTGGCCAATCACAGCACAGAGGCCTGGAGGAGGGTAGGGTGGGAGCTGCAAGTGAAGAGGCCTATGTCAAGGTCCAGGGAGAAAAATGCGGGTGACGGTGCTTGTCTAGGGCTGCCTCAGAGACAAGAAGTGGAGCTGTAGACCCACTGGGTACCATCGTCTCTGCGCTTCATGACAAACAGCAGCACCTCAAGGTCACATGCACAAACACACATGTCTATGCTGTCTGCTCAAGGCCAGTGCTAGACCGGGGTTCCATGAGGCCAGGTTCCTCACATGTCACCCCAAGTCCCGGTTCCTGCCTCCTCGGCAGGGAGGGGCAAGTGAGCAGACACTGCTGTCTCTCTTCCTTTACTTTGTCCCTGCCTAATAAAATGTGTCTAAGTTTCCACACACCTGGCTGGCATGTGAGGTATCTGCACTGCCCTGTGACATGTGTGACCTTCCCATCTCAAAAGAGAGACCGCTTGGAGCTGTGGAGTCACCCACATCATCAGAGAGGAAGTCCCTGAGTGGAAACAGCACGAGAGGCTAATGACAATTCTGTAAAAATTAAGTGTGTAAAAAGTAAGGATAGAAAACGACCCTAAGACTATGCAAATCAGGTAAATCTGGGGATTTAGCTCAGCGGCATAAGCACCTGCCTTGTAAGCACGCAGTCTTGAGTTTGATCCCTAGTACAAAAAAAAAAAAAAAAAAAAATCTGGTAAAGTTTTGTACTCCAAGATATTTCTGTTATACACACACACACATGCATACATGAGATATATAATTGTATATCTATATGTTCACACACATAAGCACATGTGTGTACACATGCACAAACACACATGAATATACACATATGCATATGTGTTTATTCCTACATGCACATGCACACGTAGTGTGCATACATTTGTCTGTGTCCCTATGGATGCACATGCATGAGTTTGAAAAAGAAAAGTGATCATTTATTTGTTTATTTACTTTTTTGAGAGAGTTTCACTATGCAGTTCAGGCTGGCCTCAAACTTGAAGGAATCTTCCTGACTCAACATCCTGAGTACTGGGATTGCAGCCACGAGCTGAAGGTTTATTTAACAAAAGTTTAGCATTGGGATTACAGGATTGTGGCTATCACATCTGTAATCCCAGCTGAGGCGGGAGGATCTCCTCAAATTTGAGGCCAGTTTGGGCTACATAATAAGTTTAAATTTGGCCTGAACTACATAGTAAGAGCCTGTCTCAGAAAAAGAAAGCTTATTCTAGTTAAGCTGCACTGCTGTGAAGCGTCTCCTCACACCCTCACTTTGGGGAATGTACTTCTTCTATCATCCTTGTGTGTTTCCGAAGCAGTTTCGGAACTCTCCTTCATGCACAGTCGTGGCTGCTTCAGTGTTTTGATTGATTCAATTCATGTTCTGTTCACAATCATTTGGACTTTGGGGAAGAGCTAAAAGTTGCCTGGAACCAAATCCGGTGAATAAGGCTGTTGAGGACACACTAAGAGCTTTTAAGAGCCTTGAATGCACTCAGCAGTGGATCCAGGTTATTGCTATTATTATTATTACAAATCACAAGGATGCTTACAAAAGAATTCCAGAACTGCTCAGAAAATAGAAAGCATGGTGCAGTAAGTGTGCATGGAATATTTGGTGACATATAAATAATAATGAAACAGGTACTAATGGGAAAAATTTAGCTTTCTACTTTGATCACACTGGGTATGTGTATGCTGTGCCTACTACCGAGGCATTTCACACACACGGACGCACACGCAGTTTCCGAGGGATGGGCTGTGTCACCTTGAATTTCAGAGGGCCCTGGGACTCTGCACATGATGGTTGCTCACAAATGTTTGCTGAATTTGAGGAAATCTCTGCAGGGCCCATCCTGCTTTTTATCTTTGAGCATTATTCTCAAAAGTTAATGTTTGAACCTGGTCATAAAGAAATTATGGCCATTAACTTATGGTCCAAATTCAGAGAGGAAGAAGCCCCTATAAAACAGGCACCAGTAGCTAGCCTGGTGAGCAGAGCTGTGGCCAGCAGTGGAGAGGGAATCTTGTTGCCACCATGAGTTTCTCCGGCAAATACCAACTGCAGAGCCAGGAAAACTTCGAGGCCTTCATGAAGGCAGTGGGTGAGTGCACCACAGGCCACCAAGGCCGCTGGTCACTGCAGTGAAGACCTGGCCCTATGGGCAGTGGAAATTGAGTGTCAGCTGTTGGGAAGGGAGGAGAGATTCAAGTTACATCAAACTGGGGGTTCATTTTTCTGACTAGGGTGAACTCTTGCCATATGGGCCCTTACTCACTGGACAAGGTCACCAAGTGGCAGTGGAAAGAGCACTCGATTAGGGTGGGATCTGCATTGATGCCCATGTGCATTGTCACTTCACCGTGAGACCCTGTTGCCTCACTCACACACGCATGCATTCTTCTAACAAATATGGATTCAGCACACACCAGGTACTCTGCTGCACACATAGCACTGAGATGTCCAAGGAAGAGCCGCATTTCTGTCACACCTTAGACAGAAAAGAAGTAATGTAACATAGTTTCTCCTAAGATGGAGGAGGGGCGGCTCTGTACCAGGCACTGGGCTAAGCACTTCCTGTGCAGTGTGCCCCATTTAATCCTCACCAAAAGCTCTGAGTTGGGTATAATTATTTTCCCACTTTACAACCCATGCTGAGAAAGGTAAGCTGGCCTGAACTTGGGTCACATGATGGGAAGTGTCTGGGTTGGGACTGGGAGCAGGCGCTGCTTCCCAGGGCCCTGGCTTTAACCCCCTGCCTCCCACAGTGCAGAGGTGTGGAGGGAGGGATGGGGGTGGTGAAGGGGAGGCTGGGAGGATGAGCAGGTGCCCCCTAGGGACCTGGGGAGGGGAGAGTGTTCCAGGCAGGGGAGCCCTGTGAGCAGAGGCTGCAGTGTAGCCAAGGAGGGAGCAGAGAAGAAGAGGAAGGAAGGAGTGTGGGCAGGGGAAGGGGTGTGTGAGAGCACGGGGCTCTTGTAGGAAATTCACCCCGATCCTGTATAGCCAGTGCTCACCTGTGCAACAGACCTGCCATTCCTGCTGTCAGGACATCTCTCATAAGCCTCTCAAAGAGTCCAGAATACCTGGCAGGACATTCTGATCTGTACTTGGTGTCCTGGCCTAAACATTAGTAGCTCCTTCTGTCACCTCAGCAGTGACCTCTTGTGGAAGGATAGCACTCTGGTCCCTCTGGGTGTAGAGGGTGACATGCCTTAACTCCCAGAGCAGAGCAGCTAAGGGAGGAGGAGGAGGAGGAGAAGGAAGAGGGAGAGAGGAAAGAGAAAGAGCCAGAAGCCGAGAACCCACAGCAAAAAGAAAGGTTCAAGGTTGCAGGGGCCAGGCCAGACTGCCCTCCTTCCCCGTCTGAGGCTGCTGCTCACAGAGCCCAGTGACTGTGGTCTCCTCCTGTCCATGTCACAGTTTCTCTTGTCTGCTTTGGCCCTGCTTTCTCTAAACCTCGGATGGTTTCCACCAGGGGTGCCTGACGACCTCATCCAGAAGGGGAAGGACGCCAAGGGGTTGACGGAAATTGTGCAGAACGGCAAGCACTTCAAGATCACCATCACTACGGGGTCCAAAGTGATGCACAATGAGTTCACCGTGGGCGAGGAGACTGAGATGGACAGCATTACCGGGGAGAAGATCAAGGTAGGGGTGCCCTTTCTTCTATGCTCTCTTTCCAGAACTTTCCATGGGCTTTCTGCCTTAAGGTTCCCATGCCTCATAATTCTCATCCTAGATCCCCCTTTCTAAACTGACATCTTCGGAGGGAGATTTGAAAAACCTGAAGGGAAACTGTTTTTATTTCCCCGGGTTCTGCTCCAGGGATTCCTGTATGTAGCTCATGGAGGGACCAAAGCACAGAGCAAAATTCAAAGTCCCAGGCTCTTTCAGGCTTGGGTTACTGGCTTTTAAAACCTCTGAGCAGGGCCATCAGTGGGGCAATCAGGATTATTGTAAACCCTTAACACTGCCCAAAGTACTGGCCAATGGATGAGGCCATAGACCGGCCTCTGGGGTGATGATAACAGGAGAGATAACTTGGAAGAGCTCTGGCCACACCAGAATCTCAGGGCTCAGGCATGCCGTCAGTCCAAACCTTGGGCTACTCACTAAGTTGATAGTGTTGGCTTCCTCATTGGGCAAAGGAGAAATCAGCCTGCCATGCTGAATGCAGTGGGCAGGGAAGCTCTGTCCACACAGGTCTGGGGCGCCGGGACACAATGACATCTAGGACCTGACCTCTGCTCTTCCCCATAACACACTTCATACCCCAGTGTAGCCTGCACCACCAAGCAGCCCTGTTCTCTGCTCCCCAGATGACTCTGCGCTGGGCTCAGCATGCTGTCCCCACCTCTTCCTACTGCTCTTGAATTCTCCTCTGCAGATGTCACACTGGACACTGGAGCACATTTCAGGACTTCCTGGGTTGTGTCTGTGGGAAGGGACAGGACATCATGGTTCTCCCATGGGCCTTCTCCAAGTGTCCATGGAGGGCAATTTTCAACCTGGGCAGGGTCCTGTGTTCCTGGTCGTGTTTCTGTGCTTCCTCCTCCTGGGTGGCCCAGGCTGGAGAGGAGAGCACAGCAGGGATGACAGGTGTTCCCGGAGGACCCACACAGACCAGAGCAATATGTGTTCAGGCCCTGAATTCTGATGCCACCTCCCTCCACTGGCTTGGAGAGCTGAGACCTCAGTGCTTGTGTTCCAGCATTTGTCCTGGGCACCACTCAGCTGTCCTGTGCTCTTTTCTAGATCACACAGCACAAACTGAAGTCTGACAGAGATGTCCTGATGTTTTCCATCTGTCTTCCATGCTCCTCTCCTCTGCCAACATGCAGGGTCAGGAGCACAGGGACCCGAGTGTGTTGGCTGTCACCAGCTGACACCTGCACTGGGGAGCCAATCATTAGCGAGGTCTGGCTCTCCACAGACCCTGCCTCACAGGCCTCTCTCTGTTCCTTTCAGTCATTGGTTAACTTGGAAGGTGACAACAAGCTGGTGACAATGTACAAAAACATCAAGTCTGTGACTGAAATCAATGGGGACATCCTGACCAGCGTAAGTTGGGGCTGTGTGCTGGGACTCTGGGTGCTGAGGGCGGAGGAGGAAGTGAAGGGTGATGGACAGCTTCACTCCTCCTCACCCCAAGTCTCACTTCCTCTCCTGGACCCTGAATTCTCCAGCTTTTTATATCTTCCACCGCTTTCCTGAGGTTCCTCGTGTAGCAGGTAGTTTACACAGCAGCTCTAAGCTTCCCAACTGCAGTTTTCTGAAAGGGAGCCTAAGGTGTAAACAGCCATGGAAGGGCAGGGCCAGGTTCCTCTGGCTGGGCCAGTCTCTCGGGGCTGCCACTCACAGCTGTTCCCATGGAGGGACTCAGACTACACCACAGAACATGTTCATCTGGGAGCTTAGCAGTGGTCTAAGAATTCGGTGAATGTTCATGAATTTGAAAACTGTATGAGAGGAGGACACCCTCTCTCCTCTCCTCTGAATGCTCCACCTCCCTTCACACAGACTTTAGTGCTTGGCCTTTGGCCACAGCCTCTCCCAGTGGCAGAGCAAACCTGTAGTTTTCAACCAGCAGCTCTGGGTATCTGGTTCTTTCCCTCAAAATGTAGTTTATGAAGTCACAGAAGGCAGAACCAGCCCAGGAGGCTGTGGTCCCCAGGTTCAGATGGGAGCATCCCTCAGCCAGGGACACTGTGAGCATCAACCGTGAAATGCGCAGTCCCTGTGCCCACACTGGGCCTTCCCAGCAGGACAGGGGACAGGAGACGAGCTGTCCGGATGAGACCTGGACCACATTCTTCAGTAGCTCCATCTTGCCCAGTCTTCCTGCCTCCTGGGAGGGAGGAGGCCACAGGTTTCAGTAGTCGAGTCAGCGATCCAAGATCATCTATCTGACTGACAAGTGACAGAACCAGCCAGGGCTCATCATTGGTGAAGCTAAGGGGCTCCTTTGTCACCCTGACATCAGGCTGTGTCACTGCAGCTGTGTTGTTCCAGAGAGCCTCATGGCCCCCAAAGCTGACCTTCCCAGTGTTTTCGCCTGCTTCACTCACAGCTTTGGAGGGAAATCGGGCAGTGCCCATGACATCCCAGGCTACCTGCCTGCTATGCCATGCATACATATCTTTCGTGCTCAGTGTGGTTTTGACATAGTAGGTGTTGGACAACATTTTGCAAGATTGGATTGGACTGGGCAAATTTGGGTGATGCTGCTATCACATCTTTTTGTGTGGAGAAGAAGTCAGCACAGCCCTGCACAGAAGAGAGGGAGGTGACAAAGTCTTGGCATAGAATTTCAGGGGCAGTTTCTAGTCTTTCTCGGGTCCTATAGAAAATAGAGAAATCATTGAGTTGTTTCATGCATTACTGTATTTGCAACTAGTGGGAGGGGAGTGGGAGCTTAGTTGCTTAATTTTACTATTCCATATCAGGTGAAAATTTCATAATTTCTTTTCTGGTTTTTAGACTCTGACACTGGGTGACATTGTCTTCAAGAGAGTCAGCAAGAGAGTTTAGACAAGTTTGCATTTCATATTTTTCTATTGTGGAAAATTCATAGAATAAAGTTCATTTAAATTTTTTTCTTTTGTGATGAATTCTCACGGATATTGTTGTTGGTATCAGTGAACTCTGATCATTGACGTTTTGTAGACTTAGGTATCCAGCACATTCTCTTCTAACACATCTGATCTGAGTGCGGTTTCACCCTGATCACAGCACTCATGCTGCCCCCAGGGCAGGGAGGCTGCATGTGGCTGGGTCTGGAGGGTGCCCTGGCCTGCCCTTTCCAGGCAGCTGCATAGATTAGGAGTTAGGACACAGGGTGTGCCAAGGGCTGGGTTTGGCAATGGCTCCCCCACAGGGATGGGGACGGGAACCCTGGACAGGCAAGGGACAGCTGTGTCCCCAAGCACAACCACAGTGGACAGGTGCAATGGGCCAAGCACTGAGCCCCAGAGGAGCAGCTCTTCCTGCTGTGGGAAGGTTGAGTGAGGGGCTGTCCAGCCAGAACTGGACAGAAGCAGCTTGGGAAAAGCTCCCTCAGCCCTAAGAGCAGAAGCAGATATGGGAGAAAGGGACAAAGTCGCTACATACTACCTGTCACACTGTTCGTGTTGAATTGTACCCTTCAACAATGCAAACAACTGAAGCCCTAAACCCTTCTAGCTCAGAATGTGAGCTTGTGCAGAAATAAGATCACACTGCAGGTGGGACTGGGTGAGTCAAAAGGAGGTCACCCGAGAGCAGGCGGGGCCCCTAAGTCAACATGCTGGCCTCCTTGTAGAAAGGGAAGCCTGGACACAGAGATGCCACATGGTGAGTGTCCATGTGAAGACTGGAGTTAGGCTGCCACACACCAGCAGTTCCTCAGAACTAGGAGAGGGGCTGGGACAGATTCTTCTCCAGGTCCTTCAGAGAAAGGCCAGCCCCGAGCCACCTTGATCCAGGCCTGTGGCTTCCACAACTGTGAAATGAGACATTTTGATGTTTGGGCCACACAGTCTGTAGGACAGACAGCCTTGAAATCTAACGTGGTACACCGACCGACCCTCCAGGCTCTGATGTTCCACCCACAGGAGGTCTTTTGACGCCTAGCACTGTGCCTGGGAAACAGCCATCCTCAAGAAAAAGTTGGATCCTTTACATTGCAATGACAACTTGAAACCTCATTACCTACTTAGCTTGATTGCTTCAGGGTCGCCTCCCTCCCTCCTCACCTGTAACCTGCACCCCTCCCAGTGGACTCGCCTTTCTTACACATACCTTTCCTGACCCTTGGTTTGTGGTCTATATTTAAGAGTCACACTGCTAATTCTCTCACCCACATACCCACATCAGGGGTCAGGAACCTCTGTGTACGTTTCTGGAGAGGAAATATACTCAGCTTTCTGACCCATTTGGACTTTGTCCCAGCACTCAGGTCTGCCCTTTTAGCCAAGAGTGATGGACAATGTACAAAAGAGTGTGGTTGTATTCCAATAAACTTTTATGTGTGAGCATTGTTATGATTCATACTTAGATGCCTCCCTACAGCCTCATGCAATCCTAGGTGTGACCTTTGTAAAGTGCCTGGATTACAGGAGTATTATAGCTGACTTTATTAAGTAGGGCCCTGATTCAACAGGTGAGTCACGCAGGTGTAATCCAAAAGGTTTGATCTCAATTCACAGAGGCAAGCTGAGAGATTTTCTTTTCCCATACCCCTCTACTCCGCTCCCATGTCTTAGAACCAGCTGACTATGGACTGAAACCTCTACAGAGTGAGAACCAAGGGAGACTTCTCCTGCTTAACTTGAAGGTATCCGATTTTGTGTCTCAGCAATGAAGAAAGGGCCTATGACAGACACTGAATTTTTGCTCACAGGATGTTTATACATCATATTACCCTCATCTTGATTTTTTATTAGCTGATAAATTACAAACATTGAAAGTGGCAAGGTTCAGCTTATAGGCTCTCATATGCCAACCCCAGCTGGTCCTACTGCAGCCTGTAACACATTTTCTAACAAAACAAAACAACCTCTGGGTCTCCACACCACTTGAGGCCATCTCTATGAACTCTTCCCAATTAGCTAAGCAGAAAGTGCTCTTTCCTTCTCTATGGAAGTTTTTCTTTGCCAGTTCTTGGGAATGGAATTCTTTCTACTTTGTCCATAGTTTTCCTCCATGTAGTTGCTCTTTTTTCCCCACCTGGAGTGCAATTCTGGAGGAAAAAGAGAACAGTTCCTTAGGGAACTAAGGCAGACTGAAGGAAGCACTTAGGGCCAAGGCAAGAATCAACAGCACACGATAATATGCCCTTCCCGAAAGCCATTCCAGATGAAGTAAAGTGACAAATATGAAATGTTGGCTATGACAGTAGGTAAATAATTACAAGCACAGAACACTTTCCTATGTAAGTGTAATGTCCATGAAGAAAAAGATTAATAAGTTGAAGTTTTATATGAGAAATATTATGTAAAGGCAGAGGGTGTAGCTCAGGGTAGAGAGCTTGCCTGGAGTGTACAAGGCCCTCGTTTTATCCCTGACACCGAAAGAGAAGTAGAAATAGAAGACAGTGTAAGTGAATAGCTTTTAAAAAAGCAAGATAGGGGAGAAAATATTTGTGGCTTATGTAACAAAGGTTAACAGAATGTAAAAATCGCACTCAAGTTAATAAGAACACCAAGAATTCAGTGAAAGGCATTGCTAGACAACTCGCAATATGAGGTATAGTAAAAAATGAAGCCTGTGACACGAGATATTCGAAGTAAGAATTTACTAGTAAACAGTGGAATTTTTATCACACCCAGTGTTTATAAGGACATGGTGACCAAGGGCACCTTCAGGGACGGAGATGTAAACTATGAGGTTTAGATGGCTGCAGCGTCACCTGGAGGCTTCCCTTAGTATTTGCTATGTGAAGTCCCCAGCACCCAGCAATGTGTAAGGCAGTATGGAAGTATTTGTGCGCATGCGCAAAGAGAAAAGTGTAGGACCTGATAACCGGAAACTAGAAACAAATGTTCATTGGTAAAAATGTTGGCACAGCCATGCTCTGAAGTGATCTGCAGTACATTAAATGTATACAGTAAGTAGATTTAAAGGTACTGGCATAGAAGTATCTCTAAGATAAACTAGTAAGCAACACAATAGCTTCACCTGTGGTTTTGTGAAGTGATGTAAGCCAAATGCCATCCAGATAAAACCCATCACTGTTGATGTTCTCAGATTCTTCAGAGTGCGAGTGCCGGTAGGCTGTGATATGCAGAGCCTTGACAGGAACTCTGTGGCGCCCAGAGAAATTAACCTTTGAGCTCAGGGACAGAGGAACAGGGAGGACAAGAGGTTTACGTCCACTGAGCTGATAACCGGTGGATCTGAGGCTCTGTGACTCTCAGGCTGCAGGAGGAGCAAATAGAACAAAGTCTTCTCAGCAAAGCCTCCAGGGATCTGCCAGAGTCCCAGGCTCCTGCTAACCAGATTTCTTCCCCTGGGAACAGCTCCGGGGAGGGAGTGTTGGATGAGTTTGCCTGATAGGAGAATTTATTTTAGACGATGCGTTTGGATTTTGTGCAGGTGCCCAGAGAGCTGTGGGCAGGAAGCCTGCTTTACACTAAGGGAATGAACAGCTGTGTGTGGGATCTGCTATTTTTATCTTGATCTCTCCGCCTCCTTTGAGCCTGACCTGTCTGCATCTCACCAGCAGGGGGCGCTCTTTCCAGTGAGAGCACACTGGTAATGCAGGATTTTGGTGTTCACGTTGAGAAAGAAGCTGTATTTTCATATATATATGAAGTAATGGGGAGTTGGGATGGAGGAAGGAGTCTACCTTCGTTTCTACTTGCTGTTGCCTTTTTAAAAAATCTCTTTTAAAAAAAATTCACGGTGAGAATCCCGTGGTTTTCCGGTATTTCTTACCAGAAAAACTTCAGGGGAAGTTTGAAAGTATCTAGGAATATTTGCTCTCCAAGGAGTGTGAGGAAAGTAGGGCTTGGAAAGAGAAGAGGGAGAGAAGGGACTGAGTCTCCACTGTGAATTTCCTTTACCTCTGGTGATGGCTTGGACTTGATCCAGGAGACCCCAGGTGAATCAGTGAGGGTGGGTTGTCATGGTTCAAACCAGAAGTGGCCCCAAAGAGTCACCTACTGAGAGCTTGATCCGCAGTGCAGTACTGTTTAGTAACGGGGTTTAGAGAGGCATTAGAATCATGAGAGTGCTTATCACGTCAATGGATTTGTCCATCGACGAGTCCATAGGTGAATGGGCTCTTGGAAGGTGGCGCCCATGTGGAGGATACGCCTGGTCCCTAGCCCGTCCTCCCCAGCTCCTCCCCTGGTCTCTCCCAAAGCCGAGGTCTCCCTTGCCACGCCCTCCAGCCATGCTATATCAGCCTTGGAGCCAGCAATCATGGACTGAAACCTCTGAAACCATGAGTCAAAAAAAGTGTTTCTTATTTTAAGTTGACTTATGTCAGGTATTTTGTATCAGTGATGGAAAACTGACCAACACATGGGTGAAATAATCAGCCCAAGGTCACACAGCGAGTTAGTAAAGCTGTGATAAAGGCAAGCTTGAATAGCTATCTCAGTGTCCTTGCTCTTAAAAACTGCACTAACATATCTCACTAAAACTGCACAATCTAAAGCAATAGGCACTGCTTGCTTTGATATTTAAACATATGGTAATTGAAATTAAATTAAATTGAAAAATTCAGTCGATCACAGTCAAATGCTTAGTAACTGCACAATGTTAGTGACGATAGTACTGAAGGTATAATTCACTTCCACCATCTCAGGGAGTTCTGTGAGCTAGCGCTGTTCTAAAAGGATTATAAGAAAGAAAGAAACTCAATCTCTTTGCTTGGAAACACAGAGGAATTCATGGGCTTTGTTGACTGCTTTAACATAAAAAACTTGGATACAGTTTCCCATCTCTTGCTCTGAGATACACAAATTCATTCACTCATTTATTTATTCATTCATTAATTCAACATGCATTTACTGAGCATCCACCATGCCCCCAGGACCTGTGTTAGGTTCTGGGAATTGGTAGATAAATAAAGAGACACGGTGCCTGTCTTTAAGAGCTCACAATGTG